AGACAACTGTTAATAAACACCTGTATTTTCTGGATGATGGCTTTCGTAGTTCTCCAGGTTTTCGCCCCAGTAGACAGTAGAACTGTCTTCACATTTGTAATGAAAATCCTGACCTTTGTGTTGGTTGACAGTTGCTTTGAGTTCTGGATGTTCCTCAGTTGCAAATATGCTGCTCTTGCTTTGCCGATCTGCGTCTCCACATCTGCATCAGATCCACCCTGTTCATCCATGATGTTGCCCAAATATGTAAAGGTTTTTACATCTTCCAAATCTTCTCCGTCAATTGTGACTGGATTGGTGCATGTTGTGTTGTATCGGAGAATCCTGCTTTTCCCTTTGTGTATATTGAGACCTAGTGCTGCTGAGGCTGCTGCTACACTGTTCGTTTTCTCCTGCATTTGTTGATGCGATTGCGATAGGATTCTACAGAATACATCGATAACATATCAAGTTAATTGACTATTCATTATAATATTTTTGTTTTATATTTGATATCAAAAGGTTAATAACAATTAAATGGGTACTATGATTCTCAAATTTTTACCATCAATATATCATTAATAGTAAATAATATTGATTGATTTTTAGCAATTGAATAACTATTGATTACTTAAATAACATGATAATGATTATTATCTCATATTTATAAAATGGAGTCTTTTCTATTCATTCTTTAAATACTCATGCATAATAAATAGATAAAGGTTTGTTTCCATGGTATAAACAAATCAATCATGATAGATTTAACATACATAAAACGAAATTATCTGATATGATAACCATACTCATCTGCGTGCATATATATATATATTCTTATCTATGCCTGAATTACTTACTTACGCCTGTTACCCCTTGTGGAGGAACATAGGCAGCTCATCAGCATTCTTCATCGAATATTGAAGTTTATGCTAAAAATGCATGCAAGTAAATTGGATTACCAAAAAGAGATAAATTAATAGACTATCTAACGGCTAACATAAACAACATAACAAAAATGAAATGATTGGAGTGGAGAGAAAACAACTAATCGAAATTAATAAAAAAAACACTTTTATCCCAATAAGTAGACACATTTGGAATATTTAAAATAAATTGATGACAGACAACTTCTCAACAAAGTTATATAAAAAGAAATTCGCTTTGTATTGTTTACTTGAATCTTCTCATTAATGTTTAGGACTGCAATTGATCAGCCTCTTATTGGTATATGTGAATACTGTACGTATTGCCTCGATATTGCCTTAATTCACAAGCATTATCATGATCAATTGAAGTCCTAGACATTATTGGGAAGATTCAATTAAACAACACAAAGTGAATTTCAACCTCACCCCGTTGGACAAACAAGTGGTTATCAGGACTCAGTAATGAAGTGGATAACGCGATGGCGTTTAAAGTGAACAGTACTGGGTTCGAGTTCCAGAGTGGACATCAACTCGGATGTAGGTACAACTAGCTGACGAGTCCCAAATAGGACGAGATACTCGTCCTGTATTTCACTGCTATTAACTATCCATCTTTGCTTATATATGAAGAGATTAAAGTAAAGTAATCAATATGTGATTATTTTTATTAAACATTCCCAAAGTAGTCATAAACTTTTTACAAGTGAATCAAATATTTCTATTAGAGGTGTGATAATTTCATTGATGATACATGGTCAAAACAATCATCCACTTATTGTGTTGATGAATACATCCAATATGTGCATTCTCGTATACTTTCCAATTTTTGATTTGCTATTTGAATGATTGTTGCGAAATTAGATTTGAGAATATGATTCTGGTAGAATACGAAATGATGGCACAATTGACGACTTCAGTTTCTAAGGTCTTATAGGGATCTTTTGAATGGTAAAAACTAAGATAAGAGAAATATGTTACCATAAAATGAAATTATTTCCGAAGAAATAACACAGACATACCCTAAGTTTTGTGACGTAACAAATTGGCTTCATTGATACATTGATTTGTATACAAAAGAGTTATTATCCTTCATTCAACTACTTCATTTATGTTTGTGCAGGTCTATTCACCAAAATCTAAGCTATCTAAGTAAAATTCTGTGTTCTAGAAGACCTGTCAATCAAGTAGAATGTATAAATGCACGGAAAAATATATCAAATCTTGTTCGATTACAAGATGAGTAAATAAGGCTTCGGAAAAAACCAAGTGGGGTCTACAGTCATAAACTGATTAGGGATACTCTATGGTTAACTACCTGCTACAGGACAAATTAATTATTCATGAGGTCTTGGTCGAATATTTCAAATATGAACGATAGGTCAATATCCCTGGTATATAATCGATTAGTAAGCCAGCTATTGTGTCTTTAAACAGGTCATTCGAAATTTGCTGCCAGACCCTATTAGCATTTAACATTTTCTTCACAGGCACTCAAGCAGTCATTAATTATCCATCGAAAAAGTGATGTAAAATATCTTCATGTTTGTATTGACTGAACAATGAGTAATAACCAATTTCACGTCCAACTAGTCCTCAATATTGATCAAATCCCAACTATTAAGTTGCAATGTGAACACCAATTAAAGTGACTGACCATCACATGAACTATGTTTTGAAGTTAATTCGTTGAAAGATATACGGCAAATCTGTCTTCGGAACACTTAAGATACGCCTTACTGACGAGTGTCAACCAAAAACGGAACCTGAGTTCAGTGTTTCTTAAAAACTACTTACAACCACCTAACGTGACTAAACATATTTTATCTCTAATTTTTTAGCAGTTTACTCCCTGTAAACGTAAACTGATCTTACGGCATTATGTAAGAAAAGATATTTGGATTTGGATTTTCACTGATATACTTTGAGGATATTTAGCACTGGTTCATAATTAAGTAACCACACTACTTGAAATAATGATAGACTGATGGATACATTGTGTTAATTTGGCTAGATTGTGAGATTAAATAATTGGATTGATTACTATTCATTTAGACCGTATCGAAAAATGTAAGACCACGAATTGATGTCATCAAGTTTTATGAATGGAAACTGATAATCACTTATCAGATCCACTAATACACCGTAACCAATTTTTAAAAAAATCATAGATCTCCACTTGTGGTTCAAGATGCAAATGAAATCGGACAAGCAGTGATTACTTTCATTCGTAAGCAAAATTACATACTGGGATAAAACAGTTGTTCAGTACTTTCCAGTTCTTAATTATTGTCTAACTAAAATCACTCAGTGATAGAAACTACGGAATTTCGACAATATTCATAAACTGCTAAACTGTTAATAATTATGACTAACTTCGACAGGTTAGAAGCCATGACTATTGGCGATCAACAACATTTGGTGTGAGACAGTTCCTGATCGAAGACAGTAAATGATGATTGTATTATTACGCGAATCAACTCAAGTTAAACATAAGCACTTTTCAATTATATATATACTGAATAAAAATTACCAAACGAACCAGAATGGCTGTTAGGGTTATGAAAGAATCACAGATTACACATGCTGTTTTTTGAGTTCGGGCTTCAACTGTTGAATTCTTAAAGCCTCTCTGGAGTAAAACTTTTCATTTTCCTTGTCCTTGATCCAAACATTTGGCTGTGTAGATTAATTTCTAAAAAAGTTCAGGTGGATCAACGTGTCCAAAATCGATAGTATGTTCTTTTACTGAGCAATTAATCGTTTTACACTCTCCTTCTAAAATCCACAATGGATAATGTTCTATGAGGGGTTCATAAGTATCTTCTTTGTTAGACCAATTAACCCCTTCTCCATACGAGCAGCTTAGTATAAATTTCTATATCGATCTACTAATATTTAACAAAATATGCTAAATGTGTAGGAGTTGTTGTCGAGATCATCAATCGATCAATATTACACCACCATTAAAAGCCGGAAAGCATTGAACGACTGTATTGTTCTAGTATGGAACCCCTCAGCAGTACTTATCTACGATCTCGCACACATGATTCAAACCCAGGATCTTCGGCCTCACTCGAACGCTTAACTTATGGATCATTGAAACGGCATACAACGATATTCCTATCTAATTTCAACCAGTCCATGTTATGAGAGTTTTATTGTTGTTATTTTCGTTGTAATCGTCGTTAATCCGACAATTCTGATAATAACAAAAGCCCATTATAGTTGCAGCTGATCGTGAGAAGAACTTTCTCATATACTTTAAATATATTTCAGGTAAGTTTCATCAGTGGTAGACAACATAAGACTGAGCACAAATACATAGTTGTTCAGATTATCATATCACACAATGGTACAGTAAAATAGCAAACAAATAATTCAAGGGACGAATAAAAAAACCAACTAGAACACAACTCATATGTTTACATTTTTATTCAATGATCTAAGTGGATCAATGGGAGAGGATAAACCAGCTTCCAGCTGACGAGGAAATTAGGAAAAGACATTGGAAGTGGATAAAACATTCATTACGGATACCATCAAAGTGCATCACGAGACAAGCGCTAACTTGGAATCCTGAAAGGAAACAGAAAAGTGGAAGGCCAAAGAACACACTGCGTTGAGAATTGTAAGCCGACATGAAAAGTGTAGATAAGAACTGAAAAGAACTGGAAAGACTTTCCCAGGACAGGGTTGGATGGATGGTGGGTGGCCTATGCTCTTCATTTGAATCTTTTAATACTTCACATAATTTGTTTTATCTTAGTATAGAAATCTTTGGTAGATTGTATCCATCAAGTAACAAGTAATCAACTCAAGAGATTTAGGCTTTAAGATGAATGAGTAACTGTCAAAACCACAATGTTAGGATCATATAATTTATAATTATAACTACAGTCGATTCATAATATATCATGAAATTGTTCAATATTTAGCAGAAAAGTCCCAAATAGAACGAAACACATGTCTTAGATTCCACTGCTAACTATCTATCATCCATATCCACTTCAAATGCTTTCGATTTATTGGTAATATCAAGGCAATCCGTACAGGATATAAATATGACAATTGCAGTCTTCAACATCCAAATAACTAATGTATGAATTAAAAATTAAAGTTTGTAAAAGTGAGTAACGTTATTGATTTACGTAAAAAACGTGATAAATGTTTCTTTTATTTACTAACAACAAATAGAGAAGAATGAATTGAGAAGTAAGATATATTAAACAGCTGATCTGATAGGACTAAAACATCAGTGTTTTGGAACAGTAAATGCTGCACAGGACGTAGCAGTTATGAACTAGTATTTCCTTCACAGAAGGATTGAAAAGTCATCTTTGTGAACAAATGAAAAATGTAGCGAAAGGAGATTTCAGTCCCGTTATAAGATACTAGATGGAAGCACTATATAGAATGATCATCACCTTGTATCATGATCTACCTATTATACAATTTATTACCTACTCGATTACATTACTCGTTTAATTCGAATAACACTGAGATTTAACTACATTCACCTTATAATGGGTAGTAGAATAATCTGTAATTCAATGTGGCGTCTTGTAAAATGATCTATTTCCGCTTATAACCTGTTTGTAGTTCCAAGTGGAAACAATATTATTATTATTATTATTATTATTATTATTATTATTATTATTATTATTATTCCTTTTAACAAGCATTCATTTTTAATTGACCTAATTTCGCAATTTACGATTAATAAACTCATTAATTGGGATTAAATCAGTAAAATTTCCCGTTCACTCACTACATTATTCAGTAATTCGGCGATACATCTAGAAGATATAGAAATATTAATATGAATGAGAAATAGACACTAAGAAAATGAAATTTAGAATAAATATCATAAGATAATCCGGAAATCTATCAATAAGAATGTTAATGAAATAAATTTTACAAATTAGGAAATTACTTTTTACTTTTTATAAGTAATCAATGAATGACAAATCTAGATTTTATGTTGAATTACTAAGAATTAATTGGTAACTCAGTAGTGACTAATGTCATGTATGTTAAGTCGTTTTTTAATCCTGATCGAATTTAAACGATCATGTTGCAATGTGGACATTAGTCTAATTGACCCAATAACGCGTGTACTGTATTGGGAGGCATAGTGGTGATTAGGGGTAGTCGACAGACAACTCTGCTTAACTTAGGTTTTGCTCTGTTTGCTACTCATCAGCAAGGTGTGCCTGTTTCCTGCTTATTATGTCCAACCACTGAATTTCATATTCAGTTGTTGATGAAATTTATAGGTTGTACTCGTTACAGACAGATATTATTCAAACAGGTAGTAAGTTACTTTGAAATGTTCCCGAGATTTTAGTAAAACGTCATGACCGGTGGAGCTGAGACAATTCATGAATGGATGAGTTATCACTAAGGGGATTTTATGGTCATTGAGCCATGTAAAAATCTGACTGAAGTTTGAACTGTACTATTAGAACTCTGTCCAATGATTCTAATGATAGAGTTGGTTGCGAGATTTGAAGATTCTGGGTTTAATCCTCAACTGGATAATAGGTTCGCATTACTGGAAAGTTCAATACTAGGCCGAAATAGATATCAATTGCTACCCAATTTACAATTGCACTTTGAATGAGATCATTCTTTGATAAATAATACCTACAGATTTAACAGGCCTTTACAAAACTACTTCAGTGAAATTATTTCTGAAATTATTTTTATGTTAATGCCAATATTATTCAAACCGTAACTATCTATTTTTTACGTGACCACGTAATCAACTGACAATTGGTTTTATTGACTGATGACAAATTATTGATCAATAAATGAGTAAACAACTTGATTCAACTCATCAATTAGTAAGTGATATTTTTCACATGAAAAATGACGATGGTTACTACCCTAGTGTAACAATTATTATCACCATATTTGGATAGTACAAATCGATAATATTTCAGTTGATTATCATGAACTTCTGTATTTATTTTAGAAGCACATGATTTCGAAGACACAGATTGTATACTAAAATCATACTGTATATAATTGCTGACTTAATTCATCCAATAATAACTTTTAGAACTTCCAGTTAATTCACATAACAACTCAATGATAAAATAACGCTTGTAAATTAAGGCAATATCGAGGCAATACGCACAGTATGTACATATGTCAATAAGAGACTGATCAATTACAGTTTTAAACATCTATCGGAAGATTCAGGTAAAACAATACCAAGTGAATTAAACCTCATCCCATTGCACAAGCAACTGGTTATCAGGACTCAGTAGTGAAGTGGATAACGCGATGGCGCTTAGAGCGAACGATGCTGAGTTCGAGTCCTGGAGTGAACATCAACTCTGGGATGTAGGTACACCTAGATGACGAGTCCCAAATAGGACGAGACGCTCATCCTGTATTCCACTGCTATCTACTATTCATCTTTGCTTATCAATGATAAAATAGTTTAAGAAGAATATATATTCAATAAATCAATAAATCCTCTGGTTATAAATGTATGTAGATAAATACACATATTTGTGTAGGTGTTAATTATTCGACCAATAAATGATCTCATTTTATGAATCATCATAAAATAATCTTTAAAAACTATTTATCTAACTTGTTTACTAACTATTCTACTCTGAACTAATCCGATCGTAAAAGCAAATGAACATAAATTACTACTACTACTACTACTATTTATTTATTTATTTATTTGAACACATAAATATTGGTACAAGAGAGCGCCAATATATATGCGCCACACAAAACAATGGGAATTCGAAGAGAAGTAGAAAGAAAAAAAAACTAAGGAACGCAAAAGAAAAAGAGAGTAATGACGAAGAGGTACAATCAGAAGAAATCTTTCAGTTAAGTAAGATACAACCACTTTTATGAAGAAAGTAAAAGAAGGTTACAGCAGGATCGCCACTGGCTTCTATTCTGAGCCATATCTGATAACGTCTCTAGCCACTGTGTTGCACCATCTCTCGGACCCCAGCCAGGGAGTCGTGAAGGACCAACACAAGCCAGTCCTTTGCAGCTTTCTTTCATGCCACGACACCATGTCATGCACTGACCACCTCTCCGCTTCTTCCAACCAGTCCCAGAGTCGGCAAATAATGCACGACGTGGAATTCTCTGGGACGACATTCGGAGAACATGTCCAAGCCACCGAAGTCGGTGTTTCAAGATGGTGACACCAATTGCATTATCATCTCTGTGCCCGAACACACGATGCCGAACCTCTGCATTACTGACATGGTGTTGCCACTGAATGTCAGCAATCCTTCGGAGACAGCGATGATCGAACACAGAGAGTCGTCTAACGTCCTCAACTCGGAGAGGCCAGGTTTCACAAGCATAGAGCAAAACTGCTCTCACCGACGCGTTGTAGATCCGGCCTTTTACAGCCAGACTAACATCACGAAGGCGCCAAAGGTGGCCCAGATTGGCATAAGCCGCTCTGGCTTTCACTATTCGTGCATTGATCTCATCACTCACACCCCCACCAGCACTTATGTAGCTACCCAGATACACGAACTTCTCAACTACGTCTATCTGCTCACCATCCAGAGTGAGTACAGGACTAGAATCCTGCCAGTCTTGTAGAAGTACTTTGCACTTCGAAGGTGCAAAGCACATACCATACCTACGGACATTGATTGCCAACTGATTAAGTGCGGATTGCATGCCTTGGGCATTATCGCACAGTAAGACAATATCGTCCGCATACTCAAGGTCGAGAAGTCTTTCTCCAGGCAACAGATCCACACCACCATTACTTACATTCATCAGAGCTGTTTCCAGAATGTCATCGATGGCAAAGTTGAAGAGGAATGCTGAGATTGGGCAACCCTGCCTAACCCCACTGCTCGAATGGAACAATGGAGAGAGGTGGTTGTATGCCCTCACTCTGCCTGAGGTGTTTTTTATACAGGGCTTTTAGGATGTTAATAAACTTCTCAGGCACACCCTTCTTCAATAGACAATCCCAGAGAACAGTCCTATCCAACGAATCGAAGGCAGCCCTGATGTCAAGAAACACTACGATTGTTGGCCTTTGAAAAGTATGGCGGTGTTCTAACATTTGGCGGAGGGTGAAGATATGATCAATACATCCTCGACCAGAACAAACCCAGCCTGCTCCTCGCGAGTCAATCTTTCTCGGGTTTTGAACAACCTACGAAGAATGACAGAAGCCAATAGCTTGGACGCAATCGGAAGTAAACTTATCCCCCGATAGTTGTTACAAGAACGACGTGAACCCTTTTTAAAGATAGGGACAACTATCGACTCATTCCATGACGTTGGTACACTCTCTAGATCCCAAACCTTTGTAAACAACGTCGTCAATTCCTTAGTCAGAAAGTCACCACCATCTTTAAAAAGAGCCGGAGGTAAGTCATCTGGGCCAGGTGATTTGTAACGCTTCAAGAGTTGGAGTTCCTTGCGGACTTCCTCCTCATTTGGTGGATCAGTCGTCACCGGCCATGGAGGGCAGGACAGTCTGACCGATGTTACCGGAGCAGCAGGCCAGTTGAACTGCCCTTCGAAAAATTCTGCCCATCGTCCAAGACGTCGATGGATGTTAGTGATTGGCATCCCATCATCCTCGCAGATTGTTTCACTCACACCAGACTTATTGCTGCCAGTGGCTCGGATGAGTTGGAAGAGCTTCCGGTAGTTACCAGATGCAGCTGCTGCTTCCAGCTCATTAGCACGCATCGACCACCAGGCTTCTCGGTCCTTACGCAAGCTTTGCCCGATTTCCTTACGTAAAAACCTTCGTTTATGGTCAAACTCACGGTTACCCGGAGTAGACCGACGGGCTTCAATGAGTTGTAAGGAACCAGAAGAAACCCAGTGCTTAAAAGCGGGACGTTTCGCAAACCCACAACTGACTGTTCCCGCCATTTTCATGGCGTCATGCAATTGCAACCAATGCTCATCTATACTTTTCGGTGGAGTGGTAGCTAGCCTAGAGGCTAGCTCGGTTCGATACTTACTTGCAACAGAAGTTGCAACCAGCTTGCTAACATCAATCCGTTGATGGCGTTCACTTCGTTGTCCACTGAAAAGTAAGGCAAGATTGGCGCAGACCAAGGCATGGTCAGAGTCCAGATAGGTACTCCAAAAGGAGCGGCAGTCTTGTACACAACCACGCCAGCGGTAGCTGATCGCGATGTGATCAATCTGAGTCCAGGCTTGAGATGCAGAGGGAGGACGCCAGGTGGCACATCGGCGATGACTGTGCCGAAAGTTAGTGCTAGCCAGAAACAGGTTGTGGTCTGCGCAAAGTTGCAGTAGACGGTCCCCGTTATCTGACCTGCGACCAACGAGTCCCCATCGGCCACCTAAACGACTCTCTTCTGTGCCTAGACGCCCGACCTGAGCATTCAAGTCTCCGGCTAGTACTACAATATCTGTCGAACGCACTTTCTGGAGAAGAACTGATAACTGGTGGTAAAACTCATCCTTGATTGCATCCGGGCTGCAATCTGTCGGGGCATAGGCGGAGATGACGAAAAGACATCGTTTCTCACGCCGATTTCTTCTCACTTTGATGGAACTTTCTAATCTAACAGCACATAACCGACTGTTAATGGGGATCCAATCGACTAGTGCTGCCTCAGCTCTAGCGCTTAGTGCGACACCAACGCCAGCAAAACCAGACGAAGATGCCACAGGGTCCCCGGATAAGCGCACGTAAAACAAGCTTTTCGAAGCGACAGATGGAGATCGAATTTGTAGTACTTCGCCAGAGTCTTGAATACGGGTCTCGGATAGACAACACACGTCGATATTAAGACTTTCCAAAGACATAGCCAGCCCTATCTGTTGTCCGACCTGCATAAATGTGCGAACGTTGAAGGCAGCCAGTTTGAATGGTGCACGTGGTTTCAGAAAATCTGCTTCAGTCCTCGTATTCGGTGGTAACATACAATTTTCAACCGGACAGTGACTCGAGAACGTTTAGATACAGTCGGAATTCCACCAAAGACGAGCCGCTGTATAAGTATAAAAGAAGGTGAATAATGTGGAAAATAATAATAATAATGATAATAATAACAATAATGACAATAATAGTAGTAATAATAATATTAGTATTAATAATGACAATAATTGAAGTGATCATAATTTGAATCAATTGATTGTTTTTCAAAGCGACAAAAGTAGTTTCCATAGACATAAACAGTTCATCATTTGTGTGTGGGCTGTGATACTGCCCGGGTGCCCAAACCGAAGCAGGTGGTTATCTTAGGGGGCCACTCCCCGAGCCTTTGACCTAAAGGTCTAACCCACAAGGCAGTGGAGCATCGTAAGGAGATGCAGTCCCATGGTAGCCGGTGACCAACAATTGGTTCATACGCCATTCGTACCCGCAGGATACTGGAGCCCATGTGCACCATTGGTTTGGAATCCGGTTAAAGCGCCGGACATTCGCTTCTCGTCCTCTCATTTTCGTAAACAACACCCTCGCCACGAGAAGGCAATGAGTAGGACTTCCCTGGCAGAGGCTATATACGCGTGGCCGTGTGAGAGTATTTCGAGAGGGAGAGCGGACTCTCCCCACTCTCGGCCGTACCAGGGCATTCAGGGGGCACTACTACTACTACTACTACTACTACTACTACTACTACTACTACTACTACTACTACTACTACTACTACTACTACTACTACTGCTACTACTACTACTACTACTACTGCTACTACTACTACTACTACTACTACTACTACTACTACTACTACTACTACTACCACCACTACTACTACTACTACTACTACTACTACTACTACTACTACTACTACTACTACTACTACTACTACTACTACTACTACTACTACTACTAATAATAATAATAATAATAATAATAATAATAATTATAAATGAATACAGTTAAAATAAAAGAAAGCAAAAGAAACTTGAAAGTTTCACATATGTTTTAATTCTCATCACATGTGTTATACAGTGTACATCTCCAATATTCAAACAATCACCCACCACTTAAATTGTTGTAATAAAACTTTAGTTAATCCATATATATATATGTTTATTTACATATTTATTTCCTGATTATTATGCTTACTTATCATAAACTAATAACCTCGAAAAGTAAAGAAGAATGAGAAAAGATCTATACTGTAAAAAAGGAGTAATGATTAGAGAGAGACAAGAGAACATTGAATAAATAAATATTTATATATTTAAAAAGGAAAGTTTCTTCAAAAACAATAAAGAATGAATCATTTGAACGAAACACTTTGTCTTTATATTCAAGTGTTATTAGGTTGTTTTTTTTTTTATTCGCACATGTCAATTACACAGAGAAAGAGGTCGATTTCGATAAGAAATGTTTAATGGTCTGTTTTACTAAATCTTCCTTCTTGTTTCTATGGTTTTATTTATTTATTTTTTTAAAATAAAATCTTTAGCAACAAAACATGTAACTAAATATATTGTTTATTTAGAATGTGTATTCTTGACTCATTTTGCCCATTTCTTCTCGTTATTATTGAATCACTTTATTTATCTGAACATAAAAGTCGTTCCCTTGAACTTTTGAAGTTTTAAAAATATATTATTTTCAACCCAAATCACCAGATCTGCAAACATATATCATTAAGCAAGTTATTTTAAACCAATGAACATTATGTTAACATCAAATACTAGTGTCAGACTCCTCAGAGACGGTCAATCACAGTCACATACATAACCAAATACAAGATTATTTGGGATATTATAAATTCTGTTAATGTTATAAAAATACTAGAAACTTTATTGGGAGAAAATCCTGTACCTAAGTTCATTCTAGTTGATACTCGCCACAAAGGTTCAACAGTAATTTTTACTAGATTGATTATTCGTTAGGAATTTAAACTTGAACCACTTAACTTCACGGGGTGAGATGTTACCACTAAGCTGTTCGGTCAGAGACTGGTTTCCTAAACGACTAAGAAATTTACTTTGAATAATCACAGAGTAGCAACCGATTTCATAGTTAAAATTCGGTTATTACCAAAGGGTTTGACAAATATGACTGCAATCAGTTGCTAATAACAGAAATTATTAATTGAATACAGGCTTGATCATAATACATTTGATAGTTCAACAAAAATATAACATTAACTGTAATCTATGAACCTCTGTTCGAATCATTTATATCTATATTGATAACTATTTTATGAATTTGAATTATTCTTATAATCGGAAAGTTAAACATTGACACCATTAGATGCCGGCCGGCTCAGTGGTCTAAAGGTTAGGCATTCGCACGCAACACCGATAGATCGTGGGTTCGAACCTTGCGGGAGGGACCATGGATGCGTACTGCTGAGGAGTCCCACAATATGACAAAACGGCCTTCCAGTACTTCCAGGTTTTTCATGGTGGTCTAGCTTCAATTGACTAATGATCTCAACTATTAAATTATTTTTATTAATTGATACTTATTGGTCAATATATATTGATTACAATATAATGAACACTAAGCATATCAGTCATCAGATAGAATTCTTAGTCAAACGATTAAGTAAATATTGGTTATAAAAATTAATAACACAACTTGAGTATATAAATCCCGGTAAATGGAACAAATTTTCGAACTATTTAATTAACATTTACAATTTATAGCCGTTAATCATTCCACTCTAGTAACAAAATAATAATAATAATAATAATAATAATAATAATAATAATAATAATAAGAAGAAGAAGAAGAAGAAGAAGAAGAAGAAGAAGGAGAAGGAGAAAAAGAAAAAGGGGGGAGAGAAGAAGAAGAAACACTCATTTTATTTAGTGACAAATATATTTGGTTATGATAAAGAATGGTTATCTCTAAATATATTAAACTACAATAAAAAAACTCATGGAGTTGGCAAATATATCTATTCAAATAAACATCCAAAATAGGGAAATTTATGTTATCAAATACACATTTAGAAAAATATTCGAACAGAATTTTAGATGATCACCCACTTCCTTAGTAATCATACAAATATTTTTGTTAATTAATTGAATTTTGACCACTAATTAATCATTAACACAGTTATCAGTATCTAGGTGTTGTATATGGTATAGCCTAATCATAAAACATACAATGTACGATATATGCATTGTATCCTTTATTTTTAAAATGTTTTAGTTCTACTTATAATGTTAAATAGAAAGTATTTCAGTTATTTAGTTTCTGGAAAAATTTCTACAGATTTTACACTAGCAGTATAAACGTACACTGGATTATTTATTTGACCGTTTAACTACAGAACTTTTTTCCTTTCTTAAATACATTGTTTTCTTTATGTTCTGGATACTCGTCACGGTGGCTGTCTCAAACTTCTTGCCCATTATTTTCCCAATTATTTACGTTGTAGGGCCAGTAAAATGTTATCGAGCTCTAGCCAAATCATCCGGTAGTTGGAGTCACTGAATGTCGAACAGTTCATCAATCCCCGTCAAAGTCGAGGACAACCAGTTAATCGTAAGCCATGGACTGGCCCATGTGGTGGTGGTGGTGGTGGTCACACTTTAGCTTGTACCTACTCTAACTAATATATTTCTGTAATAACGTCCTTTGTATTATACGGTCTTCAAAGCAGCCATAGTACCTTATTACGACAAAGGGGTAATCCACGTTAGGTGTTAACCACGAGGTGTGACTTGGAAGCTAGCTGGTTCTTCTCACCATTCCCGTTGAACTCGAGTAGGCCCTCAATCATTCGACATAGATCATTTACGCTAGTGATCTACAAGTTAATGCCATGAATTTCTATGTTTTAGATTTTTTCATTTCATTATATATGCTTGTCGACTCCATACACTTATGCCACTCCATAAAATGATTACAATTAATCATAAATTCAAGTGCTGAGAATTTGAAGAATCCCCATTAAGACAGTCCTTTAGAGAAATGTGATACCATTATTAAAGAACATCGAACATGTGAAAAAAGATGTGATGGGATTAAGACTAATTGTAAACATTGACAAATGAATATGAATGGTATTTAATCAATTTTTAAACCTTTCTATACATATTACTTGAATATTTATTACTTAATTGATTGTGAACGAAGGGAATTTATGGTATTTTTGTATATTTTGTTCTGAACATTCAAGAATAATCAAGAATGTGGTACTGAATAAAGCGAATACTATTATAATTGGTTGTTTTTTTTTTATTTACTATGTACTGTTGGTTCCCTTTGGATGAATTTTACACGACTTAACAAATGGTGACTCAATAGAGTTGGATACATTGAAACATTTTTAAGATTCCAATCCCCTTACAAAATGAATTAAACTCAATCGAAAATATTGTTTTATCGTATAATGATCATACAAATAGATTAGATGAATTAATAATTAAATAGAATGCATTATTATTCACACCATAAAAAAAACAACCTCCAGCGTTCCGCATTAACACACGTATGCAATATAATCACATAAGCACAGGCATATATATATATATATATATATATATATATATATATGCAGATGCATGAAAACAGTATTTGCATTTATTGTATCGAATTATAAATCATTTGTTTTTGACCGCCTAATATGTATATGTATATGTATGTTTCCTTTTTTCCCCGTATAGATTCGTATTTTTTCTTTTATTACAATTACTGATATTATCGAGTTTATGTTTTGTGTCTATGGTATACCAAAAACTTCATGTTATATATTTCTCAATTAAATTCAAACCTTATTCTCTATCCATTTGTATATGTCTATGTATTTCTCTTTTAATTATCACTGAAATTGTTTGGTTGTTCTTTTGGTTCAGAAACTATTTGAATTCTGCTTTTATCTTCTCTGTGTACGTGTTAAATCATATATATATATATATATATATATATATATATATATATATATATATATATATATATACTACTTATTTAACATTCCAAAGGTACAGACACTATACACATTTATCAGTTTATCCATGTATTATTTTGTTTTGAATTTATTCCCCTCTAAAATTCTTCCGAAATAATCCTATCCTCTTAACTCAATTGACAATGTTATTCTATCATATATATATATATATATATTATCTTACTCAACTGTATTTCGCATCGGATTCACTGAATTGTACATACAATTAAATTGGAACACATAATAATGAAATAATTAAATATAAACATTATAAATTAATTTTGATCTTAATAGGAGATAATGTACTTATCACAACATAATATATCTCTTCAAAACAAAAACAAAACAAAATATTATTAAGAAGATAATAAATAAATGGGAACTACATTTCAGCTGAAGGTTGATCAGAAACATTGATTCTCTGATTAGAACATTTTCAATAGTAGTTATATTTCAAACCTAGAATGAATTATATTTAAGTTTTAAGTAAGAATTCAATTTGATTTTGTAGATTTAATGACAATATATTATTTTACTCATGTTCATCTAGTCATTAAATGGTGATGAACTTTAATGAGTATGAAATCTAGGTTAAGCGAAATTTAGTGCTAATCATCTCATTTAAATATTATTAAGATCATGAACCGATCAATTTTAGACTATCATTGAAAACCTGGAAACACTGGACGGCCATTTCGTTCTAGTTTAGGACTTCTGAGCAGTGTGCAATCAGGAGAAGTTGTGGTCAGTGAAGTGCAACCATATCAGGCGTGAGGCAGTTACCCACAGAAGACAATGTAAAATGACCACACAATGTTGTGGATTGATTGAGGTTAAACATTAGCACCATTAGATGCCGGCTAAGTGGTCTAGAATTTAAATGTTTACGTGAAATGTACTGGGTTAGACCACCTCATGCGAGACCGTGGATGCGTACTGTTGAGGAGTTCCATACTAGGACGAGATGACCGTTCAATACATCTAGGTTTTTAATGGTGGTCGAACATT